TTTCAATGTGTGACATACACAGTGAATATTGTGAATTGAGTTAGAAGATCGAGACATTTTTTTTCAAATGAACATTTTCTTAATATAAGGAACAATGGAGGTTTCTTTGATATCAATTTTTCATACTATAACGGTTATCTAACCAATGCTATTGGTCTTTGAAATCTTACAAAATTTGACACCGAACATTGATAACGATTCAAACAACACAAATAGTGAAATGTAAATATGTCTCTGGATGTACTTCATGGACATGTTTCCAATCTATATTTACTAATCTGACAAAAATACCGCTTATATACTAGAGCACCACACCACATCGCGTCCTTACATGTGTATCACATAGTATGAGGTATATTACATGTACGTAACAGAGCGATATAAACAAACAGTATTTGGTTAAATGCTTAAATAAATTTTTAATATATAATATTAATAATAATTTAGAAAATGCAAAACAAATAAATATACATATATTAAAAACAAAGAAGGATATTTTCCTGTGAGATCCAATGAACCTGGCCTTTATTAAGAATGTTATGGGGAAATACATTATACATCAGTGAAACATCAACGAAGACTCGAGAGAAAACCAAGTGCTGCAGAAAGTTACCGAGCATTTCTTTGTCACATGTGGCACTCATCCTATTGTATCTCGTAATATCCAGGGATAGAATATTTAGGACGCCATCTTAACACTATTGGTTTTTCAACGCAGCTTAAACCGATAAACAGATAAGGTTCTAAACAATACGTGATTAAGATAACCGAATGTTTAATTTGATATGTTCATCTGTGTCTCTCTCTGTCTCTTTTCTCTTCCTTGTTTTGATAAATGTAAGAAATTTACATGGTGCTACATATTACCGATCGTTAAGCCTAGATTTTGTTATTTTGAATAAAGACGTTTAAGCATATCTGATGTATTTAAATTCATTACATGCTGATGCCAGATTGCATTAAACTATTATGCATGATGTCTTTCTAAATCTATGGTTGCAAATAGTCTAACAATAACAGGACAGCTCTTGTTACCTAAAGTATGTGAAGACAGAACATTCACATATTAAATCATACTTAGGAATGATGTGGTTTACCTCTTAACCTCGGACCGAGCAAATCATGGTCAACAATTTATAGTCCCCCCTCTGATTCACTTGAACACAGTTTATCACTCACATCTATATTTCGAATCATACTGCAGGTATGCCAAATACGCGTTAGGTAGGAGCATTTTTAATCATTACTAGCAATGCAAAATACGTACTATTATTTGCAAACAACTGTTAAACCTGCACATGTCCAGTTAAAGATGAAATATCCAAAAATGTACTGTATGACAAAATGTTCAATGTCATGACGTTTTTTGGAGGTATAAGGCAGCGATATAATGGCCCATGACAGAAACATCACAAAAACAGATTCTCAAGTAGATGTATTAAAACTAATACCATACACTGGATATAAGTGTACAAGTTATGCATGCGCTGCGCTATAGAAAACATCACGTTACTTCGAAACACTTTCCATCTGATTAAATATCAATCGACGGGGAAACAAGTCCTTCTATGAATAAAATCTACGTCACTTCCAATCAGTTTGTCTTCTTAATTTTCGAGCTTGATAAAACACTTTCATGTATGACAAACTTTACGTACAAAGTAAACAATGTTTAACTATTTTTTCTTGTGATTCGTTTATAAGAGAATGTTTCATCCAAAAAGCCATTTTTTATATTCTGGAACCACTACGTAATAATAGAAAAAAATGAAAGCATTGTTTCAAACGCTTCGTAAGAAATCCCTTACAGTTCGGGAGACCAAATAGGAAAAGATTATCATAATAAAAAAAACTTTATTTCATCCTAGTTAGCCGAGGCAAAAATACCACAGGGTCCTCCTTGTTGGTAAAACATGGTAGGTTTGAAAATACATGGTTGCTCACAAAATATTTTATAAGATTTATTATACATTTATCACAGATACATATTTAAAATTATCACAGAATGCACAAAAGTTAATGCATATAAAGTATCATTAAAAGTCATTAGTCTAAATATACATACATACTGATATAGTAAAGGGTCAAAATTGACATAGGTATACGCTATTATAGCATATAGTGAAAGATTTACAGCATCGGAAAGAATCTAAAATAATAGTTATTTAAGGGTTAAAATAATGGCTTTAAAGCTTCTTTTTGAACATAGAGAAAAACTTTATTTTTTTTTATTTCATTTATATAAGAAGGTCATTCCATTGTTGAATGCTAGATACATCAACTGTTTTGAATAAATCTTGGAACTAATACATTTTTACTGGATACATGCCTAGTAGAATGTTGTCCCTCGCAACAATGTCAGAGTGTAAAAACATAGATTGAACTCATTCATTTAAACAAATCTTGTGTATGTATTTTTGATGCGCTGAACTGCCGCTCTATATGAGTACATGTATATACAATTGGACTAGTGTCATCACATTCTGTGTCTAACATTTATATAGTGCACTATCACAATAATTTCTAGACGTAAAGTCATCGTCTTTGGAACGTTTAGTTGTACAATGACTTACTTGCAGTTGTATATATTTTATCATTCAACCGTAGCTAAATAGCCTAGCTCCAGACTTCAGACGATATGTGAGTAAACGGGGACAATCTAAAAGACAGATCCAAAATTACCGAATGAACTATTGAAATGAATGAGTTCAATCCTTGTTTATAAACTCTCACATTGATGTGAGGGACATAAATAAGTCTGACTGCGGAAGCAGTAATCCATTACCTGTACCTGACGAACGCAGGTTCCCACACAGCAAACTTGGAAGCTCAGACACCCAACCGCTAAAGAAACAACACTGTTACCACCCTGAACCTAATCAACGAACAACTAGAGCACGAACATGACCTTAAAGTTTAAACTGAAAAAGCTCCACCGAACCTCATTTCCGTAATTTTGCTAATTCATCACGTGAAATGGACACACAACGTATTTTCTTTAAGCGTATAGAAAAGAAAAAAAACACTTTTAGACGCAGTGCCATTTGTTTGAAAATTGCTATAAATGGCTTTGTTCTCTACATAATTATGTTCGTTTTCCTTAAATAGCGATTCAAGGATCATGTTGTCATATACAGAAATAGGATACTACAAATACAGGACGGTTCGTTTCAAAGGGGATCAGGAATATTCATTCATTTTGTAACATCAGCTGTGGTGATATTTCGTTTTGAAATCATATTGAATGGTATCAAAGTTCCGGAATCGTGTTCAGGCTATGGCGCAATATATTGAGTAAGTTCCTATCGTAAGTATGATGATTGGCTACAGAGCTGATGAATATCCTTATTCATGATTGTTATATAGAGAGTGCATGATAACTTTTCATTCAGGTTTCCACTTTTGTCTCTTCATATATTAAATAAAGTTGATTGAATATCATCATCGTTTCATTAGAATGATAAATTCTACCAAATGTACTGATTCTGTAATCTATAAGGCATAGACATAGGGTATCTTATATGACATGTGCTATAATTAGAAAACAAACACTTATACATATAAAACATAAGGAACTAAACAAGAGTACGGGCTGTTTACACCTAATACCATTAGTATGTACAACACCCTTTCCATGAAGCTATTCCAACCATTTGTCATATGCTGCCTATATGAAATGTTTAATTGCCCTACTATAGGCCATTGATTGACTTGTAAATATGTTATGACAATTTCGGTTTCATTTAACGGTAGTTTTGACTTTCATTTCATGTTGGGAAAATAATAATGGTGTTTAAGCTCTCATAAATTCAGATAAGCGATACTAATACTATATTACATGCAGTCTCATAATTATTTCCGCATATGAACATGTATGCGTTATTATGAAATTAAAAATAATGAAAAATGCCAACTAAACATAGTTTATGAATATTCTTCTATAATCAAGCATATAACATGAATGTTTATTTTAATGTAAAATTAATGTGTAATCTAAACATTGGTTCTATAAAAGCTTACAATAGCAACATAATTTCGTTAATTTTACCAGCGTTTTTGTCATTCTCAAAAACAAACAATATTCAAAAAATATACATTTTGTATTAATAATATTATAGTGTATATACTCTCATGGCAGTACAAAATGCGCGAAAGATTAATAATATAATAAAACACTATTTATATAATGTGAACAAGAACATAGACATGAAATGGAAACAATAGCGTACCTATAGATGTTGTACTTGTACTAACTGAGTGAATCGTAACCGGCACGTAATATACCCCGAGGTCAACGGATGACAGACTACAGAGAGAATGACCTCCTCACAAGTAGGGATGATTTAACCTGTAACCGCAAAATACTACCGTATCATGTCTGTCAAATGACATATCGAGTACATCAGTACAGGATTACAAGATTTTTAACGCCGAATGTTTAAAACAGGAAACATGAGCACTGTAGTGTTTCCTTTGTAGCAACAAACATGAATGCAGTATCAAGTAGCGACATGCAGATAGTTAAAAAAGACTAGTTAAGAAGTGGTTAGCATATAACACAGGAAGCAAATTATAATAAGTAATTCAATGTACATAAACAAATCAGCATATTTGCTAGTAATCACATAAAGTGGAATTCAGAAGATGAATTTATAAAACCTCAACTATGATAATAGATTATCATACTGTAATAAAAGAAGTAACTTTTTTTTATCATGATAATTAAAATAGAGAAAATTAGGTGCAAATAAAAAAATAAATAAAAATGCGAAAATGCAATATACGTTACATGCGCTGAAATTATTATTATAGTTTTTCTAATGCAATTGTTTGAAATTATATAACATTCATTGAAATATGATAGTGTTTAGGTTTTTATATTTCAACATAATTCTACGATAATGATTATTTCTACCTTAACTTATTGTTCATATATGTTTTTGCATTTGTATTTTATTAAGAAAAAATAGCTACTGTCTCTATTGTAGAATAAGTTACATTAATATGACATAATGTCAATAGAAAAAGAATTTACGGCAACGTATAATATTCAACGAAACATGGCTTGACAAAAAGACATTAGCAGATATATTTCATTAGTTTGCTATAATTTATGTATAATGTTATAAACATTTTCAATACTACATATATTACAACCCGGTCGGATCAATCTGTCACTTTTAGTCTTATTTTGAAATAGTTGATATGCTAGCAGGTTTTTTTTTACATATTTCCTTTTATCAAATCAATGTATCAATAAGCTTGGCATTTGTAAAGGACTCTACTGAGTCAACACTCTTTTTTTTGTGAAATAAAATGCATGTGTTTTCTTTGGAATGTACAGCAAATAGCATAGAATCATAGTATTTTTTCTGATATTTCCTTAATAAAGTAACCAGTTTAGTATAAAAAAAAAATGATTTTTTAACGCCGTTCGGTGTGGTTCAGACAGATGTGTAGGGACGAATTATTGATCACTCGACAATGATCGTTCGAAACATTTCTGGTCCTTTGATGCCCCGCGGACGTACAATGATTGCTTTGTGCAAAAGGCGAAGAGTTACATGTTCGTCAATGCCGTGAGCAACAATAAAAGTGATCTTTCTGACATTCCTCTGCTGGCGGCTCGTCATCCATCATCGTCTCTCGATAAACCGCCATGATGGTCATTCGTACTCTTGAACAATTAACAAAACAACTCCTACCTGACAACAAGGATCAATAAAGCAGGCAGTCATTGTGCTCGCACAACCAATCAGAACCTTTCATTTCCCATTAATTTTCCCCGGTCCCTCTCAAGATTGATAAAGCCCACGTTTTTTGCATTTTGGTCATCAGTTCTTCATAATTCCATCTTAATCGTGGATCTCGTCACAGTATTGCTGGTCTTAGCACGTTAAGTTGCCTAATTCGCTTAAGTCTTCCTCATTTTCACCACTGCTGAGCATGTCAAGACCGGATCACATTATAAGCCAGTAATATATTTCATATTCAACGTCACGCCATGTCTTACGATCACCGGAGCTCACTGCTTGCAAGCTTCAAGAAACCCAGGCCGACAGACAACGGATCCAACGAGGACCCAGGACAACTACTAGAATTCCCAGCGATAAATGGCGCCAAGGCGGAAAAGGGACTCAAAAACGGCTATCAGCTTGGACGCCCTGCGCTTCTGAAAAAAGGTGGGAAATACAGGGTGTCATACAAGGGACTCAAAGAACAGAAAAGGATTCCATTCCTGAAAGACATTTTCCAGACATTGATAGATATAAAATGGCGGTATGCTATTTTAATTTTCTGTGCAACCTTCCTGTTTGTATACTTTGTGTTTGCTGTACTCTGGTACATATTGGGCTATGCCCATGACGATTTCAACCCCGAAAACATGAACAATCCAAACTGGCGGCCATGTGTGGAGAACATGAAAACGTTTGCCGACTCGTTTATGTACTCAGTTGAGACCCAGACCACCATCGGATACGGCGGTCTGTACCCTAATACCCAGTGTGGCGGCACCCTATTTCTTGTCTACCTACAGGTAACGGTCGGATTCCTCATAGAAACCCTCCTGGTAGGATTTATCCTCGTCAAGGTTGCCAGGCCCAAACATCGGCGGCTCACCCTCCTGTTCAGCGACAGCCTGTGTGTTTGTATAGAAGACGGAGAACTTTGTCTACAAGTACGGGTAGGAGATATGCGTAAATCCCACTTAGTCGACACCACTGCCTCTGGCATCTTCATTAGCGAAAAGGTTTCCAAAGAAGGCACCGTCTATCCGCTGTACCAAAACGCTATGGAATTTGAAGCGCACGGAATGGACAGCCGTGTATTCATGATGTGGCCATTAGTTCTCAAGCACAGAATTAACGCCAAAAGCCCTCTATGGAACATGGAGTTTGATGAAATCCTGTCCAATACATTCGAAATTATTGTTTTACTGGAGGGAACTATTGAATCTACAGGAGAAATATGCCAAGCAAGAACATCATATTCTTCAAAGGACATACAGTGGGGATCCCGGTTTGCTAATATAGTAGACTTTGATATACAATCAGGCCTCTGGGAAGCCAATTTCAAGCAATTTAATGAAACTGTTCCCACTCCTACGCCAAAGTGTAGCGGGCGTGACGTCACCAACATCTACAATGGAACTGGCAATTTGGAGAATAATGAAGGAGCCACTGGGCGGTCGAGTTTCCGGAGAACCCAAAGCCACGCAGGACCCTTGAACTACATGCTTGGGAAAGCCAGTCACGTGGCAGATGTTGCACGGGAAACAGGGAGGGGCGCAGTATCATTCCAGGAGGAACCCTACAACAGTCAGAAGTGGTATGTATTGCATTAAAGCTATCTTTATCATAATGTTAATTTCCCAGACCTTATCATAACCAGCGATAGCATGAATCAACCCACTCGACTTATCTGCACCGTTATTAACAATGTTAAGCTATGCCATAAAATATATTTTGCAAAAATCCCTGCTGTGAAATAAAATTACCTGTTTTGTTTCTGGTAATTCTGATTTGAAGTAGTATTAGATACAGGTGTGAATAATCTTTAGCGGAGCTACTTTGTAATACATCAAAAACATATTTCTGTCTGCAAACACAACATATATCAGGTAATAAAATTCAGAAATTGCTCAATCTAATAAAAACACAGTTATGAAAATATTTTACAGTTACGGTCAGAAATTATAACAATTTTTTTTTTTCTTACAACAATTTTTTTTATAATGAAAAATAGAATTACGTTGAATTATTAGAGCAAGAATGTACAAAGTTAGAAATTGATCGATAGAAGATGTATAACCTCAGGAAATCTCAAAGCAGTTAATCGAATTATGTGGTATAAATCATACGCGGTTGAAACAAAAAGAATAAACATTTATAAGTTTTTCATGTAAGTGATGCGTATGAATTATAACAAATTAAAGAAAGATGAGACGGTTGTGAATTGTCAACTTTGTATTTAAGTTCAAACAGGCCTGGTCCTCTGATCGCGGCCTGCGACAGAACACTATATCATACCTACAGGAGAACAGCTATTTCTGTGGTGACTCACACCTCCCCCTTTGTCTTCGCTGTACCTAGTGAAGTGCACAGTGGTATAGTTTTTCATAGTCTGTTATTCCTTTGATGTGTTTTTCTCAGTTTATATCGAATTTGTAAATTGGAAAGTTTAGAGTGCAACAGGTGCGCGATCTGGTTAACGCTGTGGGGAATGTCTTGGTCATTTGTTTTTGACGGTGTTGTGGGTAGAACGTCGAGTTACAGGTTTAGCATTCAGTAGTCTGTTGGTATAATTATTGTACATATGTGGAAATTGTTGTTACATTTGAAAATTATCACCAGTTACGGATTACCAAGACAGAGACGAATCAATCATTGTCTGTTTGAGGAGATATACACTTTTGCTAAAAGGCTGTGGTACACAAGATTGCGTAAGGGAAGTTTACTTCATGTTTCACTTGAATAGGGAAAAATTCATGTTGATCGGATTGGTTGTTATGTGGCAGATTTCTTAAGATAATGTGCTTGCGCTTTGTCCCGATTTACTGGGCCTGTTTGTCTGCTGACCACCTATTTCTAGATATGACTTGTATTGTGTCCGTTTCTGCAATTGTAGAAATAAGAGAATTGTAGAAAACGACACAATATGAGCTGTGTCCGCCTCCCGACGACTGGTGGTCTGGCTTCTGATGGCGACTAAAATGTCTGCTGATGGTTTCACAATGTCTTGCTTTGATAATGATCTTGACGTCAGTTACAAAAGTAGTGCGCTGTAGATGTTCTTTCTCTTTATATGTGGTCCGTTTTTGTTGATTGGTATTATAAAAATGTAACAGTCGATTTTAAATGCATAATCCCTAATATCAGCCTTTTAATAGCGCGATTTCACCAAAAGAATTTAAAATGTAGTTGCAATTATCAAAAATTGGCGCCGGAAAAGCATGTTGCCAATTATGTAACTTAAATATACACTGGTTTTACACATACAATTATACACAAATTGTAAACGAAGTTGAATCCGACACACAATACACATCGGTAGTATACACATTTAATTGACACTACACATACAGTGGTGTAAGCCTAGTTTAGCCCGACAAATAAAGCATAACAGAATACGTTAGTTTCACAGCATACTAAATGTATTAACACAACACATAATACACAGCATACCAAATGTATAAACACAACACATAATACACATCATACCAAATGTATTTACACAACACATAATACACAGCATACCAAATGTATTAACACAACAAATAATACACAGCATACCAAATGTATTAACATGACACATAATACACAGCATACCAAATGTATTAATATGACACATAATACACAGCATACCAATTGTATTAACACAACACATAATACACATCATACCAAATGTATTAACACAACACATAATACACAGCATACCAAATGTATTAACACAACACATAATACACAGCATACCAAATGTATTAACACAACACATAATACACAGCATACCAAATGTATTAACACAACACATAATACACAGCATACCAAATGTATTAACACAACACATAATACACAGCATACCAAATGTATTAACACAACACATAATACACAGCATACCAAATGTATTAACACAACACATAATACACAGCATACCAAATGTATTAACACAACACATAATACACAGCATACCAAATGTATTAACACAACACATAATACACAGCATACCAAATGTATTAACACAACACATAATACACAGCATACCAAATGTATTAACACAACACATAATACACAGCATACCAAATGTATTAACACAACACATAATACACAGCATACCAAATGTATTAACACAACACATAATACACAGCATACCAAATGTATTAACACAACACATAATACACAGCATACCAAATGTATTAACACAACACATAATACACAGCATACCAAATGTATTAACACAACACATAATACACAGCATACCAAATGTATTAACACAACACATAATACACAGCATACCAAATGTATTAACACAACACATAATACACAGCATACCAAATGTATTAACACAACACATAATACACAGCATACCAAATGTATTAACACAACACATAATACACAGCATACCAAATGTATTAACACAACACATAATACACAGCATACCAAATGTATTAACACAACACATAATACACAGCATACCAAATGTATTAACACAACACATAATACACAGCATACCAAATGTATTAACACAACACATAATACACAGCATACCAAATGTATTAACACAACACATAATACACAGCATACCAAATGTATTAACACAACACATAATACACAGCATACCAAATGTATTAACACAACACATAATACACAGCATACCAAATGTATTAACACAACACATAATACACAGCATACCAAATGTATTAACACAACACATAATACACAGCATACCAAATGTATTAACACAACACATAATACACAGCATACCAAATGTATTAACACAACACATAATACACAGCATACCAAATGTATTAACACAACACATAATACACATCATACCAAATGTATTAACACAACACATAATACACATCATACCAAATGTATTAACACAACACATAATACACAGCATACCAAATGTATTAACACAACACATAATACACAGCATACCAAATGTATTAACACAACACATAATACACAGCATACCAAATGTATTAACACAACACATAATACACAGCATACCAAATGTATTAACACAACACATAATACACAGCATACCAAATGTATTAACACAACACATAATACACAGCATACCAAATGTATTAACACAACACATAATACACAGCATACCAAATGTATTAACACAACACATAATACACAGCATACCAAATGTATTAACACAACACATAATACACAGCATACCAAATGTATTAACACAACACATAATACACAGCATACCAAATGTATTAACACAACACATAATACACAGCATACCAAATGTATTAACACAACACATAATACACAGCATACCAAATGTATTAACACAACACATAATACACAGCATACCAAATGTATTAACACAACACATAATACACAGCATACCAAATGTATTAACACAACACATAATACACAGCATACCAAATGTATTAACACAACACATAATACACAGCATACCAAATGTATTAACACAACACATAATACACAGCATACCAAATGTATTAACACAACACATAATACACAGCATACCAAATGTATTAACACAACACATAATACACAGCATACCAAATGTATTAACACAACACATAATACACAGCATACCAAATGTATTAACACAACACATAATACACAGCATACCAAATGTATTAACACAACACATAATACACAGCATACCAAATGTATTAACACAACACATAATACACAGCATACCAAATGTATTAACACAACACATAATACACAGCATACCAAATGTATTAACACAACACATAATACACAGCATACCAAATGTATTAACACAACACATAATACACAGCATACCAAATGTATTAACACAACACATAATACACAGCATACCAAATGTATTAACACAACACATAATACACAGCATACCAAATGTATTAACACAACACATAATACACAGCATACCAAATGTATTAACACAACACATAATACACAGCATACCAAATGTATTAACACAACACATAATACACAGCATACCAAATGTATTAACACAACACATAATACACAGCATACCAAATGTATTAACACAACACATAATACACAGCATACCAAATGTATTAACACAACACATAATACACAGCATACCAAATGTATTAACACAACACATAATACACAGCATACCAAATGTATTAACACAACACATAATACACAGCATACCAAATGTATTAACACAACACAAAATACACATCATACCAAATGTATTAACACAACACAAAATACACATCATACCAAATGTATTAACACAACGCAAAATACACAGCATACCAAATGTATTAACATGACACATAATACACAGCATACCAAATGTATTAACACAACACATAATACACATCATACCAAATGTATTAACATGACACATAAAACACAGTGTAATTAATTGATATTTGCCACTATACCGATGTATTCATTGCTTTTGTTGATAGTCATCCATTGTTTCTATAATTTCAGGAGACTGTCGATGCCGTCTTTTTGAGATGCTCCACGGAACAAGACTTGTATATATACCACTGGTACCAGAGCACAACTGCCATTTAATGGAGCCTCTGGTGAATTTTGCATCAAGGAAAAAAGCCATGTTGGAAAACCAGCTTTTCGGTTATAGGGAGGACAAAGGAAGAGTCGCTTCCTTATAAGGAATCACAATTCCTTAACCGGGGGGACATATTGTCTCCAGTAGTTTTGTACAGTGTCTTAGCCTCGGGCATGACCTTGACCCTTGACCTTGATATTAGTCATGCATTTGACCTCTGATCTTGGTCTTTGTCATGATCCATGACCTCAGACTAGATAAGGTACGAAATACTTTTTGAAAATCCATTTGTTTTCAATATTGAATAGTTTTAGTTTTGTTCTTGACTACATTTGTTCATAATGCTGACGCTATCACAAAGCTGATGTCCAGGTACTGGTGCACCTGGGCGGTCGTAGGCTAACATTGTGGTTAACTGTATATAGTGTATGTTACATGTACAAATCAATTTTCACCAACTGCATAATCCAGTTTTATAAATACAAATTCCATATGTGTACCATATTATTACTATCACGTACGTATACGCTATTACTTTGATGTGAAATCATTGTTAGCTGTTCGTAAAATCCATGATAAATACAACGTGTTATTCAATATCGATAAACAACAAAAGTATTTTTCTTCGAAATATTAACGATTTCGTTTGAACTCCCTGCTCAAAAAACCTAAATGAAAATCTTGCATGATTAACATGTAGTTCATTTTTGGTCTAAACTGAATTATCGATTCACTATAATTTAAAGGTAGTTGAAATACATTTTCTAACCAGCACTAATGATGTTTTTCTTTCACTAAAGAGATGCATTTTTCTTTTCTTACTAACAAAAGACACTGGAATTAAGCTAAGATAGAACTAAATGAAAAAGTAACCTTTCCCGCAGAAATATTCTGATTTTTCCGATTTACTGAATGGTCATAATTTTAAATATTATTTACGATTAACTTTTGTGTATGTAGTGTGCCATAGCCTAACTGAGACCAATACAATCTTCTAATGAAGATAGGAATATAAACTATAGGCTGTAACAAATAATTCTAAATTACGTTCACCTTGTTTTCCTGCCAAGCAATGTTAGTCCCTGTGTTGTAATGAGTTGTAATGTCCCCTTCACGCAGATTCAGGCGCTATTCTCACCAAGGATACAGTCATTCAAAATCATGACAAATATCAAATATTTTTATAAAATAGCACATGAATTTTATTTAAAATGCCATTTTTGAAAACACGTTATTGGTTTCGTTCCTCAAACCCACGTTTTGAAACGCCTGGGTTTCTTACAATTATATTGGCGTGAACCATACTATTGTATTACATATGTACCAATATTTTTTTTGTATGAATAAGAAATCTAACAAAAAGTAAGATTAATTCTGTTCAGAAAAAAATACTTTGATCATACTCACAAAGACTTGTAGACCTTTACACGTGTATATTTATCCCTGCTACAAATCCATTTGCACTACAAATTATATCTTTTTGCACGTTCATTGTATTGTTTTTATTTCACATCAATAAAATTGAAAAAGTTGTACCTACACTCACCGTTTTTGTGTTATGATTGACAATCATGTACTGTATAGCGCTTATTTTTCACCAGTCATATTTTTGCTACATTTGCGGATTGAAAAATTCAGTAAAATACCATTCATTTGATAAACTTCCGTTTTAATAGGTAAAGGAAGGATTACTGATTATTTACGAAACTCATACCAGGCGAGTTTTAACCCGTCACAAAAACCGCGAAAAAATATGATCCCGGGAAATTAAAAGCGTTCTACTGTACATAAATATACATAAAAAAGAAAGAAATTCCGCAGCCCATGTGCTCCCATTCGGAAGCTATTACCGTTTCCATCTTAAGGGGTAGGAATACATTTTCCACTTACGAAAGACCTACTTTTATTGACAATGTACTATGATGATACAATGAAATCCTCGTTATACTGACACCATTTCTTGAGATAAATTTTGGCGTTGCAATGGGGTTTGGCGAAAAATTGTGTGAGACGTATAAAAGAATTCTGAGGAAAGAGAGAAAATTAACCTCGAAGTGTCGTCGGTAAGTCAGGTGGCAAATGAAATAAAGGTCATTTTATCCAGGCTTTACTGTATGTATCTATAAAAATACATCATATTGAGCACACGAGAATCGACACTCTTTTAGTCCTTCATTTCCTTTACATATATATTTGAACGTCATTTTATCATGACACATTGATATTTATTTGAATTGTGCAGGAAATGAAAATCTCATTAAATTCCAATATTGTCTTTGAACTGTAAAACTTTGAACTATATAATTATACGTTCTCTCAACACTGGAACCAGACCTTAATATAATTTGCTTAGTCTCAAAACAACAAAGTCTTAAACATACAAATGTATCGAGAATGTTGAGATATTTTAAACGCCATCATATCATATTATATCTAGCATCAAATTTATTTAAACGAACTTGACCTTCTTTGAAGACCACAGATGTGAAATACATATATGTATATACCTAAGTCAATAGCATTAAATAAGAGTGATTACTAATATAGGCCAGTGGGGTACATTTTACATGTACCTTGTAAATTGAAGAATAAAACAACTCAGTCTTGTCCTATACCAACATTTCTTAGTCACTAGACGAGTTCAGCATTTTGGAGCATTTTCTAACAATGTATATTGGACAAGACTAAATAGTTTATCAAGTACATGGGTGTTAAGTAAATGCCACTCATCACCTGATGATAAGTTTCAGTTAAGAGGGTCTTATTTGTTTCAATTTTGCTAAAACTGTTAGCAATTTGTGCAGATTTACTCTTTATTTTATGCATCTATATGAAATTTTCCTGGAACCAATTATTGCCAAACTGAAATGAAAATTAAAAATTCTGAAAAATGATTTAACTTTAATTTCCCTGGTTATGACTCAAAAGAAATGGCGAGATAATAGTTCACTGCCACCATTCTGTAAGAAGTAAAATCAAAATTTCATCTGAATAACTTGTCATACCTTGAAAAGCAGTCAACACCAATGCATAAAAAGATTTAAGATATCATTCAGAAATGAGTCTTTCAATTTATGACAATCTAGATCAATGAAGCTGTAATTCAAAATTCTGATAAAAAGGGTAAAAATATACAAAATGAAGAATAAATCTGGTCAAATTGCGAATTACTTTTGGCATGATCCTGTACACCTACATGTTTGTAAAGATTGCAGAATCCATTAAAAAACACAACAATTGTCCATGCAAATCAAATGAATATGTTTATTTTTCCTTTAAAAATAACAGTATTGAATGTTTGAACAATAGAATATTCAGTACAATGTAACATGCGACTCCAACAACAGTAACTGAAACTTTTGCCAGTACAAAAATCCATGTCCTAAATTGATTTGAAATCTGATAATGGTAGGTTTACTTTTTATTCCTTTAATATCTGTCTGAAAACTTCATGATCAGGCAAAATAAAACTAAACTTAATGCTCTAATTTCTACGTAACCAGACGACCGGACTCGATGAAAATCTGGACAGAAATACTGACTTCGAAAATTATATCAGAGATGAAATTATTTTGACTATTGGAGAACTTCTTTTGACTTTTCTCGCTTATATTCTTCACAAAATAAAAAATATAATGAACCTTCCTATGAATCATCTGAATACAAAAATAGAGTCAAATATATCTTGTTTATGAAATTTGAATATGAAAATTCAAATTAATGTAAAATCCTTTTATTTGTTTTTTTTTATTTTTGCAATTGTTTTTGCATTTATTTTATCTGTTCTGTGGATTTTTTCATTACACAATTAACGATATTTTTTCATCATGAAAAACCATGAACTTGAAAAATGTATCTACCACTTTATGGTATAGTAAATAATATTCAAAAATTGCTATACAAAAGTTCATTAAAACCCTTAAGAACAGAAAAATAATTAAAGATCAAACTTACAAAATAGTTTTTTTTATTTAAATAAAAAAAAAAACCAGGAAAGACATAAAGAGACTTTCCCATATACATACAATGTTAAACTATACTTCATATCATAAAAAGAACTCCAGCAGAACTGTTTTCTTCTGTCAAAGCCATTTGATTAATTTCCAGTATGTCATACTGTGTGTATGAAGAAATAAAGGTTTATAAAAACATATCTACATTACATTTAAGGTGTAAAAACAAGACACACATGTCGAATAAAACATTGACTGACAAAAATAAATTATCATATCAAACCATCTATTGTATGAGTTTACTTTCATTCAGACTTCACACACATAATGACACAGTAGGAAATTGCCTTGTGCATCCCACCTCCTCACAAACAGCCAATAACCCAATGTTATGAAAAACCTTTTTTATACAATGGAGGTACATGTATATCATTTAAATCTCTGTGGCCCTCAAAAGGATTCTTCCTCTACTAGTACATATAAGCATGTTCTGGTAGTATGGATGTTCCGATTTGAATCACTCTCGACATGATGATGACATATATTTGACATCACGACTTCAGTACTAAAAAGGTTCTCTGTATCTCATATTCATGAGATTTACTCATCAGTCCAACAGATATCATAAAATCCTCAAATGCAAACTGCACCAGTGATGACAACTTTGTACCACACCTCCTCTTTGTCTCCATGAGAAGCAAAGATTTGGGTGAGAAATAACTGAGATACTTTCTATTGTCGTCATTGTAATGGTCGTTTTATATTGGTTAGCTCCAGATACTGGTAAGTCAACAAGCACCAGATCCAGATCTACTTGGTAGCTGAACAACCCTGATTAAGTCATACTCCATCACCACATTCATACTACCTTGTTTGTAAAACACATTTAAAGGGAGTTTTCTCTTGCCCATTCATGATCATTTGTTTGTAAAACACATTTAAAGGGAGTTTACTCTTGCCCATTCCGGATCATTTGTTTGTAAAACACATTTAAAGGGAGTTTACTCTTGCCCATTCCGGATCATTTGTTTGTAAAACACATTTAAAGGGAGTTTACTCTTGCCCATTCCGGATCATTTGTTTGTAAAACACATTTAAAGGGAGTTTACTCTTGCCCATTCCGGATCATTTGTTTGTAAAACACATTTAAAGGGAGTTTACTCTTGCCCATTCAGGATCATTTGTTTGTAAAACACATTTAAAGGGAGTTTACTCTTGCCCATTCAGGATCATTTGTTTGTAAAACACATTTAAAGGGAGTTTACTCTTGCCCATTCAGGATCATTTGTTTGTAAAACACATTTAAAGGGAGTTTACTCTTGCCCATTCAGGATCATTTGTTTGTAAAACACATTTAAAGGGAGTTTACTCTTGCCCATTCAGGATCATTTGTTTGTAAAACACATTTAAAGGGAGTTTACTCTTGCCCATTCAGGATCATTTGTTTGTAAAACACATTTAAAGGGAGTTTACTCTTGCCCATTCAGGATCATTTGTTTGTAAAACACATTTAAAGGGAGTTTACTCTTGCCCATTCAGGATCATTTGTTTGTAAAACACATTTAAAGGGAGTTTACTCTTGCCCATTCAGGATCATTTGTTTGTAAAACACATTTAAAGGGAGTTTACTCTTCATAATCCCTTATTTGCAAATATGTTTAAACAGTCCTGAATCTACTTCACTTTCTATAACATTTTGCTCAATAGTTCCACAATGTGAGAACATAAACAGTGTTACTAGTATCATCTGTCCCAGACCTTAATGTCAGCACCTTCACATTATCCTCTGCCACTAGACATTCCAATTGTGTCCAGTCCTTGTCCAGCCTTCACGTATCCCTTACTGAAGATACAATCGGATATCCATGAAAAACAGCAGTCATTTTTAATTTCCAGCCTCCGCAAATTCAGGAAAGCATTCCTTCAGCTTTAAAGATGCCTACAACCGTCTGCTCTAACATAACGATATTACACATTTTCAGAAAGTCTTTAAAATATCCTATGATTTCTTGTATAACTTGATCCGATAACTTTGACCCTGAAAAGAAAAGAAAACAGAAAACAAATACACATTAGGTCATTCATTCTTTATCATTTGAAAAAAAATTCAACACCAAGATAAAATTCATAATGAATGTTTTGTCTTGAACGTTTATAAAAGATTATACAGAAATAAATATACATGTATATCATTGCACCATAGTAGCATCACATAGTTTAATTTTACTAGTAAATTGAGAAATATCGGAGTGATACTTTTTACAAACAACACACTGTCATATTTATATCAATGGAAATATAGATTACAAAATCCATGAATCAATCTGGATGCATCACTGAACCCCATACACTGTACATGTATCACATATCTTAAAGAGAAACAACCAGTTCCTACTCACACTTCCGACCTCCTTGGCGTCCAGTCCTAGGTCTGTAGCGGTCTCCAGGATACACTCTATCTCTCCCATGCTGAAGTTGACGGAGGGAAAGGGCATCTCCGACAGGCTGGAATCATCACGGAACTCCCTACAAAACAGTAGCTACCAAGTTCATGTATAGATTAATTTAACTCATCCACCCCTGGAACCTCATAATGAACTATTCCAACCTTTAATTTGGAGGAGTTCAAATGTTTCTTCAGAGGTGAATGAGTTCAGGTGGGTTTTATTTCTCAATTAATCGAGGAATACTTTATATTCCTTTCGGTCAATTTTATAGAGTTCATTATAATACTAAGACTGTGTACTTGACTATTGTACAGGCAAATCTAATAATGTCATGTATACATAGAGATCCTAGTTCATACACCTAGAAAGTGATTAAGTGTATATCTTACCATACAGCAGGTATGACTATAACACTATGATAAAGCAACTGATTTCTATTATACTTAATTTTGTGTATATATATATATATATATATATATATATATAGTGACCACTATTGGAAGCTTATGAAATTGTCTCTTAACAGAGATTCAGCGATTAACATGAACATAACTGCAATGGGCAGTTTCAAAAGAAGCCTCTTAACACCTGTGTTTGCTATAATTAAGGTGGTGTTTCAAGCAGGTCTAAACGTATTTATTAATATGAAGATGTACTGTACATGTTTAAAGTATTGGTTTATAGGGGATATTATTGGCAAGCCAATACTTTCCCCCCTCTGTAATAGTTAAAAGAGGAGAAACTATTGGCTAGCTGATTCTTTTCCCATCTGTAATAGTGGGGAAACTATTGGCTACCTACCTACCCCCCCCCCCCCCCCCCTACTTTAATAGTTAATAGGGGGGAAACTATTGGCTACCTACCCCCCTACTTTAATAGTTAATAGGGGGGAAACTATTGGCTACCTACCTACCCCCCCCCCCCCCCCCCCCTACTGTAATAGTCGATAAGAGGGAAACTAATATGGGCTAGCTGATTCTTTCCCCCTACTTTACCTTTGTTTACAGTTTGATAGAAATTTGTTATGAAGTGAAGTCATTAGAGTGATGACACTAATTTGTTAATAAATATCTATAAATACTCATGATACCCTTGACCTTGACACCATGAACCATGAATGCTAGCCTTTCTACATTACGGTATACAGTTTGATAAAAATCTGTTCAGAAAAGAAGCTGCCAATTAGGCAATGACACTGAATCAGAATTCGCCAAGAATCTATAGACATAGGTAACAATATTCCCAAAACCCTTTCCCGATATTTTCCGCTGAAAATGGCATGGCACAAAAACAGCTCATAGTCATGATTTAAAATCACTTTCTACACTTACACATTTGTACATTCAAAGACATGCAGTATGAAAACTACCAAATTTTGAAAATATACATGCGTTAACTTGTTATTTTGGCAATTTTTCAATAATCAATTTTAGTAAAATCTTATATCCTTGATCAAATGAATTTTAAAAGTCATGCTATTACAGAATTTAACACACTTAATATATCATTTAATATAAAGAACGACGCCACAGGATCAGATACTGGTTCACCGTCTAGTACACACCACCAATAACACGATACTTACACTAGTTTAGTCTTCACCAGATTAGTGAAATCTTCTGAACATTTCAGAGCTTTGTTTTCTTTTTCTATTATTCTGTTGTTTTGTTGTTCTTTTTCTGTAAAAGAGATAAAATTATGTCATCTACAATAAACTGAATACCTAAATTACTATCAGCCCTGGGCCTCCCAAGGTCTTGTTCAGTTACAACATTATAGCTTTATGAAGCTTTGTATGTTTCCTGGAACCTACTGTAGAACACAAAATGCTCTCCATTTTGCCCTTAAACAGGAGAACAAATTCAATATGGACATAGAATATCATAGCTAAGGGTTCTGGTAAATATTTTTAGTGAATTTCTGGTTGGGGTGTTTAAGCACAGTTACAGCAATAATATTAAGATTAAATTGATTTTATTCAAAATTTGCTTGTTTTTATGAGATAAATGTCAAAATCATGTGAAAACAGTTCTGATTTACCACTAAAAATTAACGAACTTATGCTCATTTTTATTTCACAAATGAAATGATTTTAATTAAATCAAATATCAAGCCATACAATATGTCTTGATATATTGCAATGTTCCTTTAAATAAATTGCAGTAATGCATTATAATGCAATATGAATATTGCTTGCATTACCCACCCCTTTAGAATAATAGAGTAATGTATATAAAGGTAAATTCAGCACTGAACACAAATGTTTCATAAGAGCATGCACAGAGGGCAAACATTTGGAAGGGTGAAAATATAAGTTAACTGTATCTTTACATGCAGGTAAAAACAAAACCCCATATTTTCTATGCTAATTCAGAGTCAAGTCTAGCAAACTTTAAAATGCTGTTATAACTGTCAGATTTAAATATGATTACATAAAACCATAAAATGTGAAATAGTTTGATCTAAATGACATGTTTGCAACAGCTGATGTCATATAATGAAGCTAGTTTACTAGCATGCTATAACCAACAACTATTAACCCTTTCACCCCCATGTAACTTTAGTAGACTCTGCCATGCATTGATATGGATGAGTCCATTGTGGTCTACAGCGACGAAAGGGTTAAAATGTAATGCTATTGAAACGTTCTGTCATCCCTGCCCTTCATTTTAGCGGTTTACCTTCTTCAGTCTGTCCCTTGGGTTTTGAGAACATCCGTGAGCACATAGTGGCTTCCATTACTTTGTAGTTCTTTACATCCCTAAAATTAATTTAAGAAATTAAATTAGCTTAAATGGGAAAAAAGGATGTTCAATGTTATGCATCTAATATTTCTACAATTACAGGAAAAACAATCAACATTATAAAATATATTCCCTACCTCAAAACTAATATCAAAAATGAACAAATGGCTATAACACATTATGCACTAGTCACAATACCTGATTACATTGTGTGACATTCTGCCATGCCAAGAGGCACTCGCGCCAAAATCTGGCAAGTAAATAAAAATGACAAGCGTTAAAGAAATAAGTCGTAAACATAATGATGAATAGCATACAAAGAGCCATAACGCTGTATAAAGCGAGGTACTGACTGATGGATGGTGTGCACTCCTACAGTTCCTGATGGCATTACAAGAAGGGGACTGATTAACTGATTTCTGGCACTTACAGCTAGTCCATATTAAAATGGAAATTTGCTTCCTAATGTGTTACAATTTTGATCATTGCAAGAAAAAAATCAATCTGTAAACAGTTCTGACTCACCTTTCCAGTTTGGCTAGCTGTTCGTTAATACTGCGATTGTTGGGCTCCAGGCGCTGAGCCTTGACCAAGTAGCTACGAGCTCTATCAAACTCCTGCTGTTGGTGAAGTGACTGAAACATCAAACCAAAATATCTACATACAAAACATCTATCACAGAATGAAGATCAGTGGGGAATAGATGAACCTGGTGCACAGTAGGCACGTTTCATTTTTGATAAAACACCTTAGGACAGTTTCATCCACGTAGAGCATTTAATTCTAGTATGCTACGGTCTTAAATTACATTGTTGACATTTTGGCTTATTTAACCAATTTTGGACCAACCCCTCATGATTAGGCCTCTTTGGAATCGGGGCTATATACATGTAATTCACAACTTTGGTTGAAGTAGAAAATATGATTTATTTACAGATTCACAGCAACACAAAAAGCGATAATAATTTTGAGCCAATTAATTTTCAGATGTTTCTCAAAAATAGCATCTACAAATTTGGCATTACCAACAGGCCTAGAACAACTGTAGGCCAATGTAAATATGACAACGTGAAAACTGTAACATTTCAAACAAGGAAACAGATTGTATGTAGTAAACATACAATTTCAGATATCAAAATATAAATCTGACAGCATCCAAGAGTTGTGTACCTTTCCATAAAAGTAGAGGGCGCTGGCGTTTTGGGGCTGTATCTCCATCATCTTCTTGCAGTAGTTGATACAGCGGCCGGGGTTCGTCATCTTGTTGCTACAGAGCGCCATGTGGTGGTACATCTTGAGTAACATCTGTTGCTGTTCTCGCTCCTCCTCGTCATCTTTCAGTCGGTATTCCTCCAACACAGTGGCAGCCTGGATGTGATCAATATAAATAATAAATGGTAAAGTAGTTCATAAACAAAACAGTGATAGGTAAGGTGATTCATACACAAAACAGTGATAGGTAATCAGGTGATTCATACTTGTAAGTGAAAACTGAATAATAATGTCATTCATACAAGAGGATATTTAATGGCTATATGTCATTTATAAACATAATAAATGCAAAGTTTGATCTGAACACAAACAGTAACTGAAAACTTATTTTGCGATACATTTCGCCAATAACACTTATACAACAGGCAATCAGGGGGACAGGTAATTAGTTTATTAAGGGGCCAAATGGGTGAAAATATTACCTGCTACTAGTCTCCCTGACTGCCTGAAGTATTAGAGTGTTATCATTTAGTCTTGATCATATTTTCTGACAGTTGACTTTACTGACTCTACATCACATTGTGGCTTAATAAGTTGATTTCAATTGTTTACCAATAATTTGTACTCTTTGCTTGACAAAGGAAACATGTTTTCTAAAGCTCGCAAATAAGTTTGCAATTACTGTTTGTGTTGAAAACTAACTTTGCAATTATTATTCATACCAAACTGATGAATCTCATTCCGATAATCCATAAACAAGGTTTATAAACTTTATCTATTGGGTTAAGCATCCTATTTAACAGCTGATATCATTTAAGGATGTGGCTTCATGTGTGTAATATATGCTTGTGTGTTTGAGGCAATATGAAACAACATGTCAAAGGCACCCAGCACAGTATTCCACAATGCCATTATATACCACAGTGGCCGACGTCCATTATTTAGACAAGACACAAACCAGTCCTTTCCCTACCTGTTTGAAGTTAAACATAAAGCAGAGAGCAGAAAGCACAGATTTTAAGGACTTAATATGAAATCAGGGGACAGAACTAATAAACTTCCTTACCTCTGCAGGGTGTTATTAATTACACATCATGCAGTGTGTGTAGCACTAACAAGTCTGTACCCAAAAAGTGTATTTTAGTTCAATAAGCATGTTCAACAACTTCATTAAGCATGTTCAACAACTTCAATAAACATGTTTAAACATTTTTGTAGTTTAATAAAGATATTTGCATTTAAATAGGTGTGTATGTAACAATAAGTGTTTGTTACAATAAACATTTGTGGAACAACATGTGTATTCTGAGATCAGTAAGCATGATTGCAAAAAAAAAAGCATATCTGTGACATAAATATGTTCTTAAGGTTCATTGGAGTGTATTGATAAACGAAACAGGAAGTACATCCCTAGTTGAAAATCCAATGTAGGGAGACAGTATCACAATTTCCACAAATTCTAATGTTTAATATTAAACTGATGAACATTGTATGTTTATTATTGACAGAACAGTGTGTTCTCTCAATATTAAAGTATTTCAAAGAAATCCAGGCATTAACTCAGGGTTTTTTATCAATGAGTCACATGTGTCCATTTTTCTGTACTTCAGGAAACCGGCTACCTATTTCACTACTGTGATGTTTTTCAAGAACGATAACTCTTACCTGCAATTACTATGTGTATTAATTTATTATAAAATGTCAATTTTTATATCGTGTATAGAGAATTAATTTTCAACATTTTCAGCATTTATTAAATTGATATACATTAATGCAATACTAATATATGTCAGTATCATTTTTTATTGACATTATTTTGTAAAAATATTGTGTCTTTCATTTTTTTTTCAAAATTCACTCCTTTTTACATAAATTTCCATTTAAAATCCTTAAAATTCTGACAACCTATATTTTTTTTTGTGGCAGAAAAATTTCTTTACTTTAAAGCAATATTACTATAAAATTTGAAGAAATTCTACTGAGAAATGGTGACACAATCCTATTACCTTAAGTCAGTAAGAATGATTGCAAACAATAAGCATGGTTGTAACCGTATACCGTGAGCGTGCTTGTAAAAATAAGCAAGTTTTTAGGTCAGTAAGTGTGATTGCAAACAATAAATATGTTGAACTTTGTAACCATACGCAGTAAGTGTGATTGCAAACAATAAATATGTTGAACTTTGTAACCATACGCTTTCTTGTAGAAATAAAAGTGTTTGAAACAATAAACATGTTCAGAATGTGGAACACTGTCCTTTACCTTAGATCTGGTCATCATGACCTCAAATACAATCCCTTACATCCTCGTCCCATCAACTACTACAGTCTAGAGTACTGTATAGACATCAATACTGAATGTTTAGTTATTATGTAACTAGTATATCGTGCTATCTACATTGTATTTATAGAACAAAAACTACTACTGTTTACATGATTATATTACCTTCCTGTAATGACGGAATGCTTTCCCGTATTGGTTGGCATCAAAAAACTGTTTTCCATGCTGAAATGATAAAACATAAATCCTGTTGAAGGGTCTACAGGTAAATATTACAGTGAAAACTTAAGACAACATTCAAGTCACTCCAAATATGAGAAAAAGAAAAGAACATTGTTGTCATCATTTTTTCATTTTTAGTTTAATACACAAGTCATTTTATGAAATACAAATGTAAGTCATTCTGTTGTGGGCACTACACTCTCACAGTATTGCCTCCGAATTGAATACCTCTTAGTATAAGTTATAAGAAAACTTTATTATTTGAAACATTCAGAACAATACTTTAATATTGTATAAAGGTTGCTAAAATCGTATCAAAGATAGTTTTATCATCTAATCAATTTGCCAATTACCTGTCTTTCTTCAATGTAGACTTTTCTCAGCTGATCAAATTTCAAATTTCGTTTTTCCTCCTGCATAAAAAAAGAGATAAATTATTTCCTCTGTGATTGTCTAAATGCATAACAGAGCTTGACTGTGATCAAATTATACGTTTAGACACTGTTACAGCCACCACTAACCTGGTTATCTGTTACAGCCACCACTAACCTAGTTATCTGTTACAGCCACCACTAACCTGTTTATCTGTTAGATCCACCACTAACCTAGTTATCTGTTACAGCCACCACTAACCTGGTTATCTCTCTAATACAATGTTTCCCCTGTTGTATCAAACTGTCCCAATAAATCAACTGTTTCATAATCGAATCACTTGAGCTGGGTAAGAAGGTGTCTGTGTGAATGAAACTTGACTGTAAAATGTATTATATTCTGTAATTATCAGAAATATTTCTAATTTGATTGAGTGATAACACTGCACCGCTGGCTAATAAAAGTTCTATGAAATAGGAAGTGACATTGACATTTGAACCATGAAATATGAAGTGTTCTCATACTTGTACATGTCAAAAATTTGATCAATGCTGCTAAGAAATGAAGCCACTAGATAGATGACATTCAATCATGACAGGATGCAACAGGATAGGATGGACATAGGAAACAGTATACATTGTATGCCCCTCCCCCTAAATCTGTGGGGGCATAGAAAATAGTTTCAAAAAGAGTCATAATTCCTGTGAGCATTTGTAAATTTCAGAACCAGAAAGGTAAAATATACAAAGTATATTGATTATCAATATCAACTATTTCTGTACCTGAAGTTCTTTCGAACATAAAACCAACGAAACATTAAAGCAAACTGTTTAATTGATGCCATATATATATACATATATACATGTATGTATCTCTCCATGACTTAGAGCTCTGTTGACATGAATGCTGGTTAATTTGTTGATGCCGTATGGTATCAATGGTATGGAAATAGTTATACTCACCTCTGTTAGAAAGTTGTACTCATCCAGGCCAGCATGCTCAATAAAACTCAGCAACTCCACCTCATACATCACTACAAAGGAAAACAATGGTCACATGTACAATTAAACAGATGTCACACAAATAACAGAGGTCACATGTACAATTAAACAGATGTCACACAATTAAACAGAGGTCACATGTACAAATAAACAGAGGTCACACAATTAAACAGATGTCACATGTACAATTAAACAGATGTCACACAATTAAACAGAGGTCACATGTACAAATAAACAGAGGTCACATGTACAAATAAACAGGTCACATGTATAAATAAACAGGTCACATGTTTATACAATCTCTTATGTACTTACTATTTAAGAAAATTGTACCTTCATACAACGATTATAGCAATTTTAAGGAGCATTGCATTTTTCAACAATGAAAGAAATAGCCATATTTTGCAGTACATTGATTGGGCATTAATAAATATGTATCATTGCATATAGTTTAATACCAGTGGATTCAGGTGGGATTCGAGGAGCACATCCAAGTTTTCCAAATGCATAATCATAGGTGATGATGAACCTGGACAATTCTCCTTTCTTCATAGTTGAGAGTCCTAGCTCTAAGCCTTCAACAAGTTGTCCTGAAAATTTACAAACATACTATTTAAGTTTCTGGCTGATGTCTAGAATCCACCCTGTTCTCTCTCACTGTTCTACAACTGTTGATGGCTGGACTGTACAACAGACACCAAGGCTATCACAGATTGGCATAAGCACACCTTGGTTTTTTGGACAAGGTGAGCTAAAAAAAATAAAAATAAAATAACAAAATGAAGTTGAAATGGACCACTTGAAATTGAAAAATACCACCTCATGTAATAAGTTAGCATACAAATCCCTGGATACCCCTAAATGTGGCAGAGATCTGCTTTGAACATAAAATATCTGGTACTTAGTACCAAGATATATTTGCTTAAAATAATTATTCTACAATTCACAGCTCAATGAGATTTAGTGTGGAAGCATTAAATTCATTCCTACATCTCTAGTATTTGTGGTACAGTCACTGTTCCTTAACTAATAGTAAATGTAAAATGTACAAATGATAAATCTTTATTTCACTTTAATGTTTCAAGAAAACATTTACCAAACTACCAGGATATATTAAAATCAGTATACTTCAAACTTCTGCATTTTGATAAGTTGTCAGTTATGAATTCAATTATTCTTATATATTCAGCAATTACATAATTTACTTTAAATAATGAAAATCAAATCACAAACATAAAATTATTACCTTTTCCCAACTGTTTTTTGATTGGAGCATTTCGCAACCGGGAGGAATCAAAAGGCTCATCGGAGTACTCCAAGAACCCATTGTAGTGAACTGGAAATAGAAAGTATATCCAAGTTTTAACCACTTATGGCAGAATTACTTATCAGTTAAATAAAGAGACATCCGACTAATACAATTTGTATAATTATTACAATGACTTCCTCTGACATATAGATTAAGGTCGCATTCGTGTTTCCTAGTTGAAACGGTTCAGGTGGCATAGAAAGAATCCACGATAAACGAACGCACTTGGACCGAACTGAAGGCAGAGCTAAAATTCCACAGTTTCGGAAAATAAATAACAATACATCAAGAATAATAAGTCCTTTCCTGCGTCCACTAAATTCTATAATGTATCTCAAAATCTACATGTGGATTGACCTTGGTTTATAGGAAATAAAGAAAACTAGCAAAAGTGAGCATTTTAGTTTCCCTGAGGCACGTCTAGACCCCTTATTCTACACGTGCTGAATATTCCTGAGGTCAGCCTCGGTTCTGATCTGCGTCTGTCATTTTCTTTCTTTCAGGTTCAACCATATCAACTGACAAAAGGGGCCCCCAAGTGTTAACTCACTCCTAACTAAAACTCCACCTTATATAACATATAGACTTAAGTGTCAGAGAGAGGCATGACTCACTCACTGTAGGAGTGTTGGAGGACCATGCCATAACACCTGATGTGTACTGTAAGTTTTCACTCACTTGAAACGATGGCTCCCTCTGGTATAACGTTGCCTGCTCCATGTGTAAGTATTTTTTTCACAACACCACCATCTTCAACAAGCTTCGTCATTTTCTTCGCCATTTTTTCAAATGGACAGGCGTCATCATCTTCATCTGTGTCATCATCTTCTTCATCATCAGGAATATAACAGTTTTTCAGCACATCATTTGGTTCAAAGAAAGCATTGCTGGTCAGGTTTTCATCTGAAAAAAAGAAGATTGTTTATCCTGAATTAAATTATCTCTTTCTAGATCTCACGGGTATGAAGAATATTTCAATTCCCCTTACTTTGTGTGTATGTATATGTGCATGTAATTTCCCTGTACTCAAACATATTTTAGGTTTTATATCAGAAGCAACTTAGAATATATAGGATCGTAAATGAGTTTTCATTTCATGAGATTTTATGAAACGAATCTTAGGAGATTTTATTTTTGCGAGTCTTGGCGAGCAAAATTTTAAACTTCGAGACGAGTTTCATAAAAGCTCATAAGAAATGACAACAAATTTAAGATAGGTTTTAAAGCCAAAATGTAGAGGGCTTAATCAAACGGAGACAGACATTTTGTTGCACCAACTTATGATGTCACATCATTGTCCATATTATGACGTCACAATCAATTTCTGACTGGCACAGCCAATGAAAAACGCTCCAGGGTATATTACACTAGTGAAATATGTAAAAAAAATATTACACGGACGAATTCACTAGATAACAGGACAATTATGTGATGAATAACAGATCAATTTAAACATGTATATTTTCTTTTGTCACATTCTCTGTATTAACTATACATACAGCATCAACAAAAATGTCCATAGGCACACTAATGTTATTTCATAACTTAATTACTTATCAGATCATCCATTGACAACTCTGGTTATCAGTCTGAAATTTATCTTTATAAAAACCCTTTTTTTTTTTTTTTTCATAAAATGTAACATTGATACAACTGTTATAGCAACCAATTAGTCAGCTGACATTTTATACAGACAGACCATAGCAATGGTGGAATGTTTCGACTCTTAATTACTAGGAAAACGTAATTCTGGCAAGATGAAATCCATTTTCTAATTCTTCTGAACCATCTGATGTGGAAAACAGTAATCATCAATACATATATTAATATAAATTAAATATGTATAGAAACGAACCTGCTGCCATGCAATCCTCTTTGAGCTGAAAACTCTGACCCTCACTCAAAGGGTTCCGAAGCTCATTTAAGTCGAGCGGCTCCTTCAGGGGAACAGCAACATCTTCTTGCTATAAAAAAGAAACCCTGTTTCTGTTTACCTTATATACTTCCTATACGGTCAAACTTTTTAATCTGATCTGTTTAAGTTCACCACAACTATTCTTTCAAATCTAACTTTCACTTTGTTAAACAGATCTATAGCTTATCTATGTGTAAAATAAAATGATGAAAGACAAATAGTACGAGTCTAAATTAAATGAATACCTAATATGAAATGTTAATGTAAAACTGGGGACCTCCATTCTCTTGAGATGCTATAATGATTGAGCTAGATTGTACCTGGTCTCAATAACAAACAATCAACCAAGTCAACTACTTCTGATTATATATTTTCGTTAGGTTATATTTATATTACAGGTCAAGGACACTCTGTTGCTGTAGTAGTCATTATTTGTCAATATTGCTTTTAACATATTTGTTGTATTTAGCTTGACACGTTCATATGTAACTGAAATCAGCCTTCCGTGTAATATTGTACGTAACGCATTGCGGCAAAACTTGCATGCCCGCGGAAATAGCATGTGTAAATGTGATTGAGGTACCAGGCGGATGTGATGTAATGTGTCCAGTACCTATTGTCTATGTATAGTATTCTTAGTGCTGAATGTTGTGTAGGTTTACCCGGCGCACTGGTTACTTTGAACAGAGCGGCCAGAGCGAGCACAGCTATACATATACCTATACGTACAGTACCTATAACTATAGCCAACATAGAGATTGAAAGATGTAGCGGGCACTAGAGCCAAAAGCAGTAAACGTAAGTAACCGGGTATAAATATTAGTGTAATTCATTAAAGTATCTATTTAATAATAAATATTTATAATTAACGTAATATTTTTGTTTAAAAGTAAAGCAAAAGAAGAAGCAAGTTTTTAATATATGTGTATATACTGAACTAGTCAGACTAAGGACTTGGGGGACTTTGTTCCAAGAAAACCCTCTTCACATTGAAGAGATGGATATTTTATATATTTTGTAATTATGCTGTATAATTAGATAAAAACTGTAATTTCTATAGATTGAATGTCACAGTTGTAAAATACATATTCAGCTATTGTAACTTATGTCGGTGTTTGACATGTTTTATCTTATCGTGTGATTGTATGAATGTATCATTATGTATCGTAGTAATATAATGTCTTTCATGTTACAGGTTTTTTTACAAGTAAAAAAACAATAATTTACAAGTAAAAAAACAATAATTAACAAAGAACCCGGAGTTGTCATAAATCCAGGCAAAGACGACTATCACATGTTAATGGGTTTTACTTGTTCTTACATAAGTACAATTCGGCTTTAACCACATGCATGTTTATGAAATATTAAATCATTAGGAAAACCTGTTTGTTTTTAATATATAATCTTGGACAGCTAGGAAGATAACCTTATTTTCTTGTAATGGCAATGTCTCGTTCCCAAACAGTAAATCTGGTACATTCTAAAAGAAAGTGAGCAGTGTTTTCAACTTGACCGCATACACATAGCGGAGATTGAACAATATTTTTACTAAATACATGACTGTTTATATAATTAAGGAACTACATTCCATTCGCAGACGAGCATGGTATATTTGACCCTTACAGGTTCCAAAAGTGTAGTGGATTGGTACTTTTCTACTTAACTGTTTATCAAAGTATGATTTTATAGCAGAAACAGACGGATTTGATCTAACATCAGATGGTAGTTTATTCCATTGATCTATAGTAGATGGTAAAAACGATTGTTTATAAAAAGCAGTCGAAGAATAGATCTTTCGATCCATGCGCGACATGTGTGTGAAAGTGACAATTTGTTTCTAAAATATCAGTTTGAAGTGCGACCCTGGCGCGGGTCGCTTATTTCCCGCATATTATAGAGGGCTGGAGTTCTGACGTTAATCGACGACAGACCGATATAAAAAAAGTCGTTAAAACGTCAGAATAATTCGGACTAGGGTAGAGCATAAGACTGGAGAACCAAGGGTTGGGGCTCGAGCCCCAGCGATGGCACTATCTTAATCACTATTTCTCGTCCTATACTACTACAAACTCAAGGATTAATGCAGGAAAAGAAAATTAGTACCTTTTTTTTGAAATAGGAGAAAATATGGAGGGTGACATGAATAACATCTTTAAATTTGAGTTCCCCCTATTCATTATAGACGCTTCCAATCATATACTGTAAACATATGGCCAACCATAAACAGTGTCGTAAAAAATTCGACAGTGATAACATCAACACAGGCAAAATAAAATAAATCACTTGGTCATCAAACAGACAGAAATAAAAACACAATAAAACCATGACAGATATTTATGTGGTAGTATTTTAGCTACATGTGGGTGAATTTTTAATTGAAAAAGGGGGAAATAATGCCAAAACCTGAGAGGGGAATTGGCCCATAATTGGTCCAGTACACTCTGCCGATTGAGATGTAAAGACCTATAATAGCTCTATTGACCTATCTGAAATAGGTCTTTTGAGCTATTTTCATGTGATTTTTTTTAAGGAAAATGAAACAAAGTCACTTTAAAAAATAAAATAAAAATATGAAAAATGAAAATAAACATCTAAATGTTAGATGCTTTTTGTAGTCAACATTACCATAATCCTTACTGTTTTATGCGACTTTGCTTCAATTTAATGAAAATTGAAACCTGAGAAAATATAGCTCAATACAGTATAATTTATAGCTCAGTCGGCAGAGTACTAGTGTACGGGTAGGGATAAACCACGAAAAGGAGCGAAAAGGAGTTGTAATACGTCAAATAGACACTTTAAAGTGGATTTGTACTTGAATGTGGCCGTAAATTGTCTTTATATTAAACGGCACTGATAAACATACGGTTATGAATAAATAAAACGGTTCCTTTCGCAGAGAAACCCCCCAAAACCACTCCTTTTCGTCATTACAACTCCTTTTCGTGGTTTACCCCTACCGCTAGCAGGCTAGTGTACTGGACCTGTACGTAGTTACCACGTGAATTACTGTGTTTCGATTCACGCATCGATGTGTTAACATTCATTTTGGAAACATACCGTAAAATAATCCTCCTGGTCCATATCTTTGGTGATAAAAGTCTTCAGCTATTCAGAATACACTGTAAACAAATGACACGCGCTGACTTCTGCCAAACTGTTGATTTTCGATTCCCGCGAAACTTCAAGCATGTCAGTGAACAAGAGTCAGTGATACTAATATTAGATCCGGTTAGAGTATAAAGTACATAGGATTTTGTAATCAACTAATAAAATCTGTACCCTATTTAACTCATTGAGAATTCCCACCCTAAGGCAGCAAGACACACAGTATTTAAGATATGCAAGGCATGTTTAAGATACCAATCAACAGTAGCTACATTCCCAAATGTGTGAAATGATATCCACTCAAGCAACACCATGATCAAAGGCTACAATGTGTTAAAAAAAATATAACCTTTATAATCAACAAATAACAAGAAAATGCAGCAAAGCTGCTGGACACCAAACCATTTTATGAAAATGACTTACTGACAGTCCACCAACCACGAGGGAACGAATCCTGCATACTTTAATCTATTTAATTATAATCATATAAATTGTAAATGGCATTAATTGTGTTGTTCAGAATATTCAGTTCACGCTCAATATCTAGTTGTAACCGCACGTTTTGGGCCAAATGTCAATGATTTGGTAATAATGTCATCTTCTAAGAGAGAGAGAGAAGCCGGGGACATAAGACGATTTACATAAACTATCATTTACACCTTTTGTCAAAATTGCAGCAATTTTTGCATATATAATTCTTTTGACAATGTCCCTATTTGACTATTTTGGATAAAATATCAACCATTTTCTAGGATAAAGGGTCAATCGTAGCCCCCCTCCCCCCGTCCCTTTAAATAATAGTTATTAATTCTCGAGACTGCAACGAAGACATATTTTGACAACGCTGGTTTTTTGGTTGTTACCTTTTCAGGCGCTAACTACTAGCCAAATGCCACCTGGCTAATATCTCCCCATGTGTGTATGACTGCGTGTGTGCTGGAAATGTATACGTAATGTGGTGTGTTTGTAGCGGGACCGTGCTTCATACGGTATCATTTATAGTGCCACCTCGCTTGAATGCTACAGCACAAATACCGCAACATTCTCCCCAGACCAATTTATACTCCACCTGGGTTGTTGGAGTTGTATAGGCAGGAGAAAAACACTTGCTCTGCATATCCATGCATACGACAACTTCTGGGATCGAACCCCGGCCGCATGGAAGGCCGTTGTGTTAACTTTGACCACTCGACCATATTAGCATATGACATATTGTTCAGAACGACTTTAACAAAAAGGGACCGAAATTGCCCCTGTCCCAATATGGGGACATATATTTTGAAATAAAAGTCCTCAGCAGGCAGGGGTTTAGGGGGATAAGGTATCCTGGTTTAAGTTAAGTTATGTTAACCCCCCCCCGTACGAAGAAAACATAATAGTACACCCATTGAATAATGACAGGACTGGATGTTCACTCTACTGACAAAATGTAACTGTTAAGTTATGTAGGAAACAGTAATTTCATGTGTATGTGTGCCAGCTGTTTGGGTCTCGCCTATTTCATATTACAAGTGAAATAAATATAGCGTATTGAACGGGAAAACCATGAAATTTTCTATTTCTTACATTTCTTTCACGTTTCGCTGCGCAAATATTGCTACATCAGAAAAGCGCGGGAATGTATAACGTAGTTTTTGACGCCAAATTATAATGACGTCATGCTTGACAACAATACAAAGCGCCACTTTGAATGGGTTTTCACTGCAATTTTGCCGTTTGCTAGTATATCTGGTAAGATTTCCAGACAAAAATGATATTAATTGTGTAGTTATGTAAAAACAACAATGTATGCTGCAAAGGTAAACAGCTCAACCACTTATACTGCCGTCACTTCATCTAAACTTGAAACTGAAAATCTACGCAGAAATATAATGTACCGTTCAGATTGGACAATACTTACAGAGTGAAGTTTTTACTTGTGAAGATATAATGTTTCGTTTATCTTCACTGCATTAAATATATGTTTTTATTAAATAGAGAATTCATGATATTTTACAAGTAAACTGCAATCAATACGTATATCGATACGGTAGGGTTTACCAACATATTTTTGTAGACAGTATGCGGCCTTAATTTCCCAGAAGGCTTTCACGCATGGGGAAGCACCGGAAGTGGACAAAGTGTTTACAGATCAAACCCCGGCGGCGCTTTGCGCCGCTTGGAGGTTTGAAAAAAACCCGGCGGCGCTTTGCGCCGCTTGGAGGTTTGAAAAAACACGCCATTCTGTTTAGAAAAGTTTTTCATAGTATGAGGTAGTTTTAAAAAGATCTATTATAACAATATAAAATGTAGAATTTTCCCCACAATTTAGTTATTACAAATTCTTTTCAAGTAAAACTTTTAACAAATATGAAGAAGGTTAAAATATATCCTTTTTTCAAGAATTTTACATTACCTTTTACAGATGTATCATAACAAATAACATTTTATAAGATTCGCTGTCATTGTATAAGAAAGGTTATATCTTTTCAAATATTTGTAAACAATCATGAAACGTTATGGAAACAGTTTTTTAAAGATAGTGGACTGTTACAACCAATAAAATGACACATCATATATTTAACATTTCAAAGAGTATTTTGTTAAAGAAATTGACACAAAAGTATCCTGACAAACAACTTTTCATGAGATATGTTATTCAAACTGTACATCTTTTCAAGTAAAACCTCTTACAGATTAGAGATAGTTTAAAATTCACAGCATTTGAAAACAATTTCAAGCGAGAAACGTCATGAAAACAGGTTTTTACATAGTATGTGACAGTTTGTTTTAGTATTTATGAAGATTTACAACAACGAAAGTCTTTTCAAGTTACACTTTTAACAGGTATGAGTTGAATTAAAGTATTTTGTTAACAAATTGACACAAAAGTATCTTGACAGACTTTTTATAACATATTTTTTAATTCAAAAATATACCTTCTTTCACATAAAACCTCTAACAGATGTGAAATAGTTTAAAATTTACAGTATTTGTAAAACAATTCAATCATGAAACTTTACGAAAACGGATTTTCAATCAGGAAACGTTATGAAAACAGGTTTTGAAATAGTATGTGACAGTTTGTTATATATTTATGAAGATGTACAAAAAGGAAAGTCTTTTCAAGTTACATTTTAACAGGTATGAGTTAAATTAAAGTATTTTGTTAAAGAAATCGACACAAAAGTATATTGACAGACTTTTCATAACTTATTTTTATTCCAAAGTATACCTATTTTAAAATAAAACCTCTAACAGATATAAAATAGTTTGAAATTCACAGCATTTGTAAAACCATTTCAGTCAAAAAACTTGCGAAAACAGGTTTTTACATAGTAGGTGACAGTTTGTTTTAGTATTTATGAAGATTTACAACAACGAAATTTTTTTCAAGTTACATGTTTAACAGGTATGAGTTAAATTAAACTATTTTGTTAAACAAAATCGACACAAAAGTATCTTAACAGACTTTTTATAACATATTTTTATTCAAAAATATACCTACTTTCACATTAAACCTCTAACAGATGTGAAATAGTTTAAAATTTACAGCATTTGTGAAACAATTCAATCAAGAAACTTTACGAAAACGGATTTTTTAATCAGGAAACGTTATGATAACAGGTTTCCACATAGAATGTGACAGTTTGTTTTAGTATTTATGAAGATTTTCAACAACGAAAGTCTTTTTTTAAGTTACATTTTTAACAGGTATGAGTTGAATTAAAGTATTTGGTTAAAGAAATTGACACAAACGTATCATGACAAACAACTTTTCATAAGGTATGTGAAGACAGTTAATGATTAACAACAAATTTAAGATACAAGATACATCAAAGTTGGTTGGACTTTTGTCATATTCCCACATCTAACAGCAACACTGATAACTGATCAGGCCCCGTTAGAATAGAAATGTAGACAGCATATACCATTTATTAATGAGTGTTAGAATCAAACAATTGAAAAATAGTTTCAAAAGAAAATAATACTTTGTTCTTACTCTCGGAGCAGTGCAGATACAACATTGAAGTAGGTAAATTCGGTTACTAATACGAATGAGATTAAGTCTCCGTTAGCATACATTTGTAAATAGATGTACACACTTCTCTGTATTTAGATATCTATAGAAACAAACAAAAGTTTACTATTTGAATCAATATGTGTTAATAACATCATCTTATCTTTAAAAAGGGGGACAATTTAGCATTTGACAAAGTGTATGCCACAGAAAAAGTTCCTAATAAGCTGTGATTAAAATTTACACTACACTTTAGCTGATTGGTATTCAACTATTTTAACAAATGGATGTTTTATTTTGATACCTTTCAAAAGTATAATTGCTTCCGTCTCATTTTATATCCAATTCGGATAATTGTTTACTTGCTATGGCTACTTTTATGACTTTAATATTGAACATGTATATTAGAATAAAATGCATATAATTGTCGGTTTCAGATGTTATTGGGGTTTTTTTAATTGTAAAATGTTCTTTAGAGTTCGATCCTGGTGATAAAATACCTAATGAGACAGGAAGGAATATGATGCTGTAGAGATGGTTAAAGATTAAAACTGAGAACAAGTTACTTGCTCGTCAATTGCATTTGAGTTGACAGAATGGAACACTCACTAGTTTTTTCCCATTACAAACGCTCACTTATTAGCATTTGTTTATAATGATAATCACAGACTCGATAACATTGGAGGGATTGAGAATCTACCTGTAAAGACTTCCCATTCCGATCAGTCAGAGTGAAACCGAAGAGAAGATGGAGTGGACATTGTTTGTCTAATAGAACAGACCATATATATACATATGTAATAAAATGTATGGCAAGCCAACTTAACATTTATTCAAGGAGCAATGTCGATCCTGTAAGATATCTCATATACTATATAAGATATCTCATATACTATATGAGATATCTTATATACGATTTGGAATCAGCATAATTATGACGTCACAATTAATGTAACGGCTTTCCGTGTATCCTATGGGCTGTACTTGCCCGGTGTCAATTGACGAACCTGACCCAAATTGACAAATTAAAAAATGTGTATCAAAGCAATACGCAGGTCAATATTAAGCATTATGTATACTGCTAAAACCCATT